AGTTCACACAGCAATACCATAGCAATATATTAAAGCATCATTTTCAAGTAGGTTTGTTTTGTGTTTACCTTATTTATTTTACAAACATTTCTGTCATGTTTTTGCAAATTCACCATTTTTATTCCTAATTTGAGAGAAAAATGAATAAACTTATTTTAAATTATATCATTTGTTTTGCTTATTAAATTGTAGTTATGTTGAGTACAGTTTAGAAAAACGTAGCACATAGGCCTGGTTGGTGGCATGTCAGTACTAGTTGACGGTGCAGTTTGGATCTCACAGTATCAGGTCTGACCTCCTCCTCTCCGCTCCCGTTGTCTTTTACCTTCTGCTCCTTTTATACTCTTCCGCTCAGCCTTTGCACCTCTCCTCTGTGTCTGATTGGCTGCTTTGCTGACGCTGAAACTTGCCTTGGAGAGGAACCTGTAGAACTAGTTATCATGTGTTTGGTTTAGAGGGCGTTGGTTATTTTCCACTTGCAAAACAATCACCCAATGCTTCAAAGTTATTGCATTTCCAGAAATTTTAAATATGTTTTTTCTTGTTTTCAGAGTGCCATGCGTGCTACCACCGCAATTGCTTCAAACCAGGTAAAGAGTGTCCTCGCTGCCAGCGTCTTGCGGAAAGGAGAGAGAGGATGGCTCGAAAAAACATGGAAGAGCAAGAGGATGAAGGAGGCGGTGCTTAAAGAGGAGGGGGAAAAAAACTCAAGGAATAAAGACGGAGCACAAACTTGACAAAAGTGATTGTAGTTACTAAAGACCTCAAACATGCCTACTGCTGATTTTAATGTGCATTTAATGTCAGCCCCTTTCTGCACTTTAATTTGTAAAGTTTTAATCCAGTTAGAATTTTTTGATTTCTTTTATTGAGCACTTAGTTCTTTTACGTTTGTTGTACCAGTTGACCTGTGGCTTTAGTATTTTAGTGCGAAATTCCAAAAGAAAATTACAAATGTAAACAATTTTGCCACAACATAACAGTGCATTGTGTAACTTTTCTGGTGGAGATCTTATTGCTTTGTCTAGATTATTCTACAGTATGGTATTAAACCTCTCTATCTTCATGGAGACAAAACCAGACCAAGTTACAGGTCAGATCTGTGGAGAGGTGACCCTGCTCACAGTCAGAATGCCTGTTTTTACAGGTATTTTTGAGCTTTAAAACCACCTGTAAATGAATAGTAATGAAGAGCTGTGACAAAGCAATGACATAGAGAAATAAGCAAGTGACATACTTTCAACCAAAAAGTTACATAGTGCACCTTTTAAATTACAAATGTAACCAAATTTACCACAACTTAACAAAAGAACAATAAAAATTCGTGGGCACAATTTTATATCTTTTAAGTATGGAACTTCTGACAGAGTATGATGTCTTGTTAATTGTAAAGAGAGGGCCAAAGATGATATAAGCTTGTATTACTGATCTGTATTTTCCAAGAGTGTTTTTATTGATCTTTGATAGTTTTTTTTTTTTTTTTTACTCCAATTTAGCTGCATTTTGCGTAGCGTCTTTCTTAGCTCAAGTTTGATAATAAGACTAAAAATGGCTGGCTCTATTTCAAAAAGTTTATATTATAATGTAATTTATTTGACCAATTCACTTACTGACACTCCTTTTGTGCATAGTTTTTAAAGAATGCTTTGGTATATTGGAAATGGGACCAACAAACTTGAACTGAAAGAGCTGGTTACACAATACATTTAGACATGAGAGGTTATGCAAAGTGACTATTAATCGTGTGGTGGCCATATGTCCAAATGGTTTGAACCAGCTTTATCAGCACTTAATATTTCGGATAAAGTCAACTGCACTGGAAATATTAAAAAAAAAAATCACACTTTTTCCACCTTATTTCAATACAATTTTAGGCTTAAGTTAAAATTCATTACACAGATCTATCAGTAAACATTGGCAACACAATCCAAGTCAAAAGATTATTTGTATGCACTGGTGAAACGTAGCATGAGAGGTCACTTAACAATTAAGGTGATTGTGATTCTCATATAGAACACTTGTTATCTCACTATTTTTATTATTTTTTGCAACAGCAGCTGTGTCATCTGACTGCCTTAAATCATATAATGCTTTGAAGGTTTAAAGTGCAATACTGATTAAAAAGTTAATTATTATTATAAGTTTGATTTTGCTATGTATGTTATAATTATGTTGTAAATACAATAAATGATTGGCAAGACTGTTATTAAGTGTCAGTTTGCTGGTGCACTTATTAACTATTGTTAATATACTAATATATTTGTTGTGAGAAAGACTGACTTGTTTGGACTGTAACAGCTGTACAAACAAGTCACACAGGATGTCAAACAGGAAAAGTGTTTTGAATGTTTATAGAGCTAATAAACTGATAAAAGGTTTATCTAAGAGCAAAGTCTGAAACAGGGAAATGGAACAGAGCAGGAAGAGAAGAGGGAGAAAGACCCAGAAGAAAACTCAAAATTTTAAGACAATGGTGGCAATAAATTTCAATGGAGGTATTTTATTTTATCTGTTAAATTTTATATGACTTTGCACAGTTTTTCTTAAATGTCCTATATTACACAAAATAGCCATGTTAGAATGTTGTTACCACATCAAAAACATATCTCTACAGTGCTCAAAATGCTCAGTTTCACCTTGTGATGTCATGAAGTGGTAGTTTTCAATTTAGCAGCTACCTTTTACCTTTAGGTGAGTAGAAATTGACAGTTCCAATCATCCTAATGATTCTAGTGAAGGTGTATGGAGTTTTAAAACACCTCACACGGTAGAACAGAGTGTTTCCAATCTGAGAAAAGAACTTAGCCTAAATATGCAGGGTTTGTGTGTTAAACGTGTGAATGAAACTAAACATAGCGGGATATGTTTGTGATGAGGAAACAACATTATAACATTGATCAGAAAATAGCAGAATATTGTTCCTTTAAATTGTATATGATTTTGTGCTTTTTTTTTTCTTAATTAGCTTGTCTAATCCTGGCTTATCCAGATGCACCACATACAAATGATGACCATGGCATAGCAGGAGATGAGGAGGAGGTAGATTCTGAAGAGGAGGAAGTCTAGAACATAGCCAACGTGACACCACTGGTCCTGTAGCTCGCTCTCCTTCTGCAGCGAGTGGAGGTGTGATCTCAGGTCCCCCACATACTGACAGATCTGCTGGAGTTCAGGGAGGACTACACCTGCCACACAACCGCCCACAAATGCACTCATTAAAGATGCATTGTTTAACTTTTCTGGCAGGGCATCTGCAAATGTTTGATGTTATTGCTTTGCCTTGAATGTCCCACAGTATGCCTTTAAACGTTTCTATACCAAACCAAATTAAAGGTCAGATCTGTGGTGAGGCGACCCATCTCACAACAAGAATGTATGTTTTTTAAAGTACTTTACAGCAATAAAAAAATAATAAAATGCATGGTAGAGAGATTAGCTCAATGCTAAATGAGGAACATTCCAGGAAAAGCAACAACTTCTCCATGGATGTAAGCACATGGCAGATCCCACCACAAGAAAAGTTCACAGTGCAAAGTAAAGTTACACAAGTATTAGGTTTGTATATTGTAATGATGTACAAACAAAAAGGTGCAGTACCTCCATAGCTGCTGGGTGGGTGTGAGACAGACACGTTGTTTTCTGTTTGGATGACTGTTTGGGGGGGTGTGCAGTTAAGATTATTGGGTTTTTCTTCTTCTTGTTTTGTAGCAGGTGGTACATCCTCTGGCCAGCGGTAGCAGATGAGACGAGCAATATGTTTGAGGACAACTATTCTGACCCAGTTTGGGACCTCCTTGTATTTCATGGAGTTGTGGTGGAGAACATTGGTGATTATTACAGTTTCCAGCAAACTTATCACCATCAGGGCCAGACAAACAGAAAAGTAGATACCTAGATTTACAGAAAAAGTCAATGCATTAAGTGCTATAGAAATTCTAACTAGATTTTTTTGGTCTATTTATGGCTTTGTTTGGTTAAATATTAAAATAAATAAAAAATTTGAAAAAAGAGACTAAAAATCTTTAAAGGTGGACTGCGCAACTTTTCTTTTCTACTTGTCTCCATGGAGATGTTATTGTTTTGCCTGGAATGTTCCATGATGTGACATTAAACATAACAGGGGTTTCTATTTCTCAGAAAAATAAGATTTTTTTCTGTGAATTGGGGCGACTCTCCACAGATCTGAATTGTAATGTAGCATAGTGCTGTAACCTGCTTCTCTCCCTTGTGATAAATAAGTTTAATCTATACTGTGGAACTAGACAAAGCAATAACATTTCCAATAACATTTATTTTTCAATAATGACTGACCTATTATGGGTGTGCCATTGGCTGTACTGGGCAGCAGGTCATTCATGATGAGGAGGAAGACGGTGTAGCCCAAGATGAGGGTCATCTTAAAGGAGGCACGGTCCACACTGTGTGGAGGCAGGTAAAAGGACAAGATGTCGATGATCATGAGGAAAGAGCTGGGGATCAGGAGGTTTACCACGTACAGAACTGGACGACGTTTGATCACCACCTAAAGCGGGTACGACATACCAAGCATTTTAGTACAGACGACTTCATTTAAGTGTCCATTATTACACAATTTTCTGATCTTTTATAATGTTGTTTCCTCATCACAAACATAGTTGTGTTTTGTTTCATTCAGACCTGTTTAACACACAAGCCCTGCATATTTAGGCTGTGTTTTTCTCTCAAACTGAAAACACTCTGTTCCACCTTGTGATGTCATGTGGTAATACAGGAAGTTCCCCAATGTATTTTTAAACAGCATACCCCTTTATTAGAAGAATTTGGATAATTTCAGCCCTGGAATTTCCAATCTTTACTGAGCAAAAGTCTACTGAGTAAAAGGTAGCAGTTAACTTGAATTATACCGCTTCATAGCATCACAAGGTGGAATGGAGGATTTTGAGCGTTGGAGATGTAGACAGACTAATAACCAGGATTACTCAGACGTATGTGAATGAAACAGAACACAACTCCAGGAATGAGGCAACGACATTCTAAAATGCTTTAACACTCACAAGAGTCAATTTGACGTTATGTAGGACCTTTGATCTTTTTGCATCTTCTCAGTTAAAATTCACGCAACACAAAGACTTTTCTATGACATACTGTGTGTAAAAGCAAGATTAGTTTTATTTGTCAGTGCTGAGCCTCACCCAGAAGGTGATGATGTCCCACTCGTCGATGCCAAACTGCAGGATGGAGGTCTCACCCAGGATGTCCACCAGCTCCCACTCTCCACTGGCCTCCAGATAACGCTTGGAGTTTCCAGACATCTCCTTGAAAGTGAGAGCAGGGCTGACCCTCACATCTCGGACTGTGGCAGAGGAAAGGTTTAAACAACTGCAACACCTACACACTTCCAGGATCTTAACCTACAGCTGTGACTGTCCAACAAAACAAAGAGCTAGTTTGTGATACTTTTTACTGTAACTAAATTAAACTACATGTATTTCATTTGTTCAATTACATGTTTATTAAATTCCTCCTTACAGTGAGTGGCAACTCCTATGACCCTTAAATTGGATTGGTGGTGTCTCCTGCTTGTCTCCATGGAGATACATTTAATGCCATACTGTGGAACATTCCAGGCAGATGGCATAGCACCTTCATGAAGACAAACAGTCTGACCCTCCATCAAAAAAGTTGAAGGTAAGCACTCGGACCGTGGCAGAAGAAAAGTATAAACAACTAGAGAAACTTTGATGTCGACAAAAGTGAAGTTGACTCACTGGTGTGCATGTAGGAGCCAAACGTAAAGGTGCAGTTCTGAACATCAAAAGGAAAACTGAAGATTTCCAGGTTGCAGGCGGAGACGAGTCGAAGCATCCTGTCCCAGCGGATATGTCCCGTGTGGTTGACGTAGACAAAGGGACAGGCCTGGGACACGTCATCGTCCACACTGTAAAAGAGTTCAGATGGAGAAGTGAAACCAGCAAAGTAAAAAACAGAAATATGTCTCTTACAATTCATAAACAATGATGTCTGGAGACCACAGCTGCTTCACAGGGAGAGAGATCCTTGTAACGCCATCACACTCGTCTGGATCCCATATTAGAAACTCATGTTGCCAATACTGTAATGAAAGAGCCAATGCAATGGTCAAACTTGTACGGAAAATGTAATGATTATTTTAGTAGTTGATTAGGCACTGATTTGTATGGTGCAGTGAGATTGTTTTTTATATTTACAAATAACATGTATTATTTAGAATCAAAAATACTTGGACAATTCTATGATCAAAATATGTTTACAATAATTGTATGTAATATTTGAGTAGTCGTCGTTATTCCAGTTAATTGTTGCAGCCCTATACAAATCTGTCTTTACCAATCTAAGCCAGAGAAAAGTGGTGAGGATCTGTGCTTTCTCATTCTGAAATGAAGGAAATGAAAACAATTACAACCGGTAATAGCAGGTTATGTAAAAAGTTAAGATCCCTTTACTGACCACTCCTAGGACTGCATAGAGCGTGAATGAGATGTTGGTAATGGTGGGGTTACTGAGGTTCACTGCAGGACGAAAAGCCTGAAGGTCAAACACAGCCTGCATGGACTCATAGGTCGGACCACTGTGCCCCTCCTGACACGTTAGTTTACTTGAACACAAAGACGCTGGCAAACAAAGCATCATTATCAATCCACAATTACAGTCACAAAATAAGTAAATAACATTAAAAAGACAGTAAAATAGCATTAAATTACATTACATTACGCAAAGTCAGTCTTATCTACAAAGCACTCATTCATAAAGAGGTTACTTGCCATTACCTGATAATAAAAGTAAGCTAAAGAGGCTGAGGCTCCATAGAGTCATTGTGCACTGTCCTTAAGCAGCTTCACCAGGAATAAGATACTCTGACTAAAACTGCAATGGTTTTTAATTAGAGGGGTATGCTAATTAACTCCCCAGACAGATAACTGTAACAACTGATGCTATACTATACAATACCCTCAACAAATCCCGATCAATTTTATAATAAGTTAAGTATTATTAGCGTTTAAAAGTTAAGAAAAATATTTTTTAAATGCATGTATAACTATAAACAAATACAGTGTAAAATAAAATAAAAATATCAGGACTTGTTTTTTAACACCTATGATTGGGCCATTCTCTCACCCGTTTTATTTTTCAACACCTACACTCTCTGGGGACCTTAACCTACAGCTGTTACTGTCTAAACAGTAAATGCCTAATTTTGTGATAGTTTTACTGTTATTAAATTAAGCGATCAATATTAAATTTATTCAGTTACAAGTGTATTTCATTGCTCCAAAATACCTGCAAAACATACATTATTACAGTGAGTGGGGACCCTCTGATATGACCCGTAACTTGGCCTGGTTGTATCACTTGCTTGTCTCCATAGAGATAGATTTAATGCCATACTGTGGAACATTCCAGGCAAATGGCGTAGCACCTCCATGAAAACAAGTAGTCAGACCCTCCACAGTTACATAGTTATATAATGCACCTTTTTCTGTTTTGAAATGGAAGTGAACCTTTAATGTCTGCACAATGCACATATGGTATTATTACAGCAAAGTATTATCTCTAAAAATATTTAAAAATGTCTTGTTCATACTGAAAATTTTGTATTTATATTCAGTCAAAATGTATTTCTGTCTAACATGTTATTGTTTGCATTACTTTATTTTATTTCATTAGTTTAAATGTAATGTAATTATATTTTCATTGTTTTGCAGTGTATTGCCAAAGCATTTTTGTAGTTTGTGAATGTTGTTCACCGACAATGAGGATAAAATGTATTCTGATCTGAACAGTGGTTTGTGATTGGCTTGGCTTTAAAGGTGGAAGTTGTCTTGAAGCGCTAAGTTATAACTGATTATGGAAATAAATTCATCATAAAATGTCCAGAAGCAGAATACAGATGTTGATGCTTAGAAGTCAAAAAGCTTTTGAACCACAATGTTTAATGCTTTATTAGTAACAGAATATAATAGCTACATAATTCTCATTTCCTAATCTACATTTTACGAACGTAACAGAAATTAAAATGGAAAACACCTAAAATTTCTATTTGTTGATTATTATTTAAGTTTTTTCTATTGATTTGTCTGGTATGTATATATGAATAGAAATGTATACTTTAGTCTCGGGTGACCACCTGTGTCCAGTTTAACCCCCATCCAGCCAGTGCAAAAAATGTCCCTTGCATGCTTTCCTGAATGTTAACTAAATTGAATGAAAAAGTAAGAACTATAGACTGTATGTGTGTATATATATATATATATATATATATATATATATATATATATATATATATATATATATATATATGTGTGTGTATGTATATATATATATATATATATATATATATATATATATACATATACATATGTATATGTATATTCCTTGTATAAATAAATATCATGTAATAAAAACAGTATGTAATCTCTACAATATAAAATGTAGCCTATTCGACTTTGCAAGTAGATCTATTTAATTTAAAAGCCACTACTTCAGAACTTCTTATTGGTGGTCCCTATGTTGCTGCATTGACCCTCATGATGCCTTCGCCCACATGATAACTATGGTGATAAAGCTAACTGATATGAAGATGATGTAGGTGATGAAGACCACTCTGTCTGTGATGTAGCCCATTTGAAACCATTCCTCTGAGGTCTCACTGCTGCTGCGCTGCTGCTCCACCTTCTGACGGATCTGGTGAAGTTCTCTGCCCAGGTCCTGAAGAGCCTCTGCTATTTTACTCCTTGGGGCAGGTGCAGGCAGCTTTGGGCTCTTGTCTGGATCTGTGGCTAGAGACATATAAATGTTTTTTGATTAGAAAACTGTATATTCACTTGACACACTCAGCTACACGTCTATTATTAAAGGTCCTATATTACATAAAATTGACTTTTGTGTCAATGTTTTGTGTCAAAGGCTTGTTAGAATGTTGTAACCTCCTCAAAAACATACATGGAGTTGTGTTTATTATTAGTCTGTCTATATCTCCAAAGCTCAAAACGCTCTATTCCACCTTGTGATGTCATGGAGTGGTTGTTTTCAAATGAACAGCTACCTCTTACCTTTAGTTCAGTAGAGATTAGTAATTCCAAATCTGAAATAATCCAAATGATTCTAGTGAAGGCGTATGGAGTTTAAAAACACATTACAACATGACATCACAAGAGCATTTTTGTTTTCTGTTTGAGAGAAGAACTTCAACTATGTGCAATGTGCAGGTTTTGTGTGGTAACATTTGTGAATGAAAAAAAAAAAAAGATGAGGAAACAATATTATAGCATAGAACAGAAAATAGTGCAATATGAACCCTTTAAGTAAGCCCATGAAATCATTTTTTTTTTTGAGGTAGATACTAAATAGGCTAGATAGAACCAAATGTTTTCAACTGAACCAGAACTACATAGATTTTACATTTTTTACAATATGCATGTCATCCTTATTATAGAACAAATTTTTAACAAATTATTAGTGTGCCAAGTGGGAGTGGCCTTTTGTAGGAGACTGTTAGACTGTCCTAGGGCAGCTGTGGCAATGACAATAACTAACCATTACTGAGATGAGAAATTTAAAAGCCCTATTTTCACTATTTCAACTATTTTCAGATCTATGTTATATTGTTGTTTCGTCATCACCAGCATTCCCAGAGTTATGTTTTGTTTCATTCACACATGTTTAACTCACAAATACTGCATATTTAGGCTCTGTTCTTCTCACAAATGGAAAACACTGTTCCACCTTATGATGTCATGTGGTAATACAGGAAGTGCTCCAGTATTTTTAAACTCCAAACACTGTCACTAGAATCATTTGGATAATTTCAGCCTTGGAATTGCCAGTCTCACCTGAAAAAAAGTTATAAGGTAGCTATTAACTTGAAAACTGCTGCTTCATGACATCACAAGGTGGAACAGAGCATTTTAAGGCTTTGGAGATGCAGACAGACTAATGATAAAGGGTTACTCAAACATGTGAGAATGAAACAAAACACAACTCCAGATATAATGTTGCTATCTCCAAAAAAACATAATGTGGCTTAAAGCTCACAAGAGTCAGTTCTGTGTCAGTTCTACCTTTCTCTCAGAGTGAGTGATTGAAAATGTTACAAGCACTATAACTATATGTATATGTAAGATATTATAATTTACCACAAAGAAATGTTTTATTTTGTCCTTGTATGTATCTATGCATCAACACGATGACTTGGTTATTTTTTAATGTATTTGATTTTAATCTAATATACCTTCTACGGCTGGGTTTTCAATTACTGTGTCCTCTTTCTTTTTAGGCTTTGGTGGAAGCAACACGAGGGGTCCCAAGAACTGCAGAATAATCAGTCTGAGGATCCAGGGCACCTCTGAGTCTTTAACAGCGCCACACAACAGGTTTGTGATGATGATGGTCTCGAGTAAACTGCCCACCATCAGAACCAGGCACATGGTCAGGAACACATCTACAGAAAGAATTATGTTTTAAATTTGTACTTTCCCATTTCCCAAGATTAATCGAAATCACAGCTTCAATGTACACAATTAGCAAATCTCAAAGCCAAATTTTTAAGACTTTTTCCTCATTAAAACTGTTAACCCTGTAGTTTAGATCTACTGATAATTTGCAGTGACATCACGCTAGGGGTGTGCTATTTTTATATGTACAGAGGAATGCTCATCAGTTACCATGGTGACACAATGCGCATATTAGAAAAAAAACTGTTTTAAGATTCAGAAAAAACACATTTTCAGGAGCCTGTGATCAATATGAGTGATCATGGTTCTGTTTAGGTGTTTGATTTTCAACAAAAGGTGAGAGTGACCAACTGAAAAACTGTCAGCTAATGTTAGCAACTGTGAAATTATTTGAGAGGAATTTCATTTAACCGTAAAAATCACCTGGTGTAGTCCCAGCTATGTCAGTTCTTTGAAAGAACTGAAATATGGTCAGATTGTGTTGAAATAAAGCTCAGATTTAAGTCAAACAAATCCTCAGAGAGCTAGCATCACAAAGTATCAACACAAGCATGTTTTAAAATGCATGGGACTAGTTTGTTCATAGGCCTTTCGTCACTCTTTTTTCATTGAATAGAATCTTATGACACATCACAAACCTAACTGCAATCCCAAAACTCATCTGAAAAATTGCTATTTGATATTTTTCCCAAACCTTTAAGCTCTATTTTCCATAAATAAGTGAACTATTCCATACTCATGAGTGGTATGGTGTTCCCAGTGACTGGAAGCAAGTTGTTCATGATGAGAAGAAACATGGTGTAGCCCAAAATCAGAGTCATCTTAAATTGTGACCTATCCACGCTCTGAGGGGGCAGGAGGAAGCTGAAGAGGTCCACTGCAACTAGTAAACAGCTGGGGAGGAGCAGGTTCACTACGTACATGGTAGGACTGCGCCGCACAGACACCTGTAATAATACATGAGATATTTTAAAAGATATATATTACTCTGTTTTCTGATCTATCTTATAATGTTGTGTCCTCATCACAGACATACCCGGAGTTATGTTTTATTTCAGCCACACATGTTTAACGCACAAGTTCTTCTCTCAGACAGAAAACACTTCACCTTGTGATGTCATGTTTCAGCCCCATAATTTCCAGCAAACTAAACAAAAGTAGCTGTTAACTTGAAAACTATCACTACATGACATCACAAGGTGGAACAGAGCATTTTGAGCCTTGGAGATGTAGACAGATTAATAATTAAGGGTTACTCAAACATGTGAATGAAACAAAACATCTACAGGTATGTTTATGATGAGTTAACAGTATTACAGCATGGCTTAAACCTCAATTTTCCATAATACTGGTACATGTTTAATCTCCAAAATTCAAGCCATTTCAGCTACATAGTGCCTCATATTGTATTTTATAAGAGTATAGTTCATTCTGTTACTCAGTTAGATGATTACTTTTTTGAAGTATTTGCAAACAAGGAATAAATGAATAGGCAACAACATAACCTAATGGCTTAAAGTTGGATTAAGTAACTTCTCTTGTGGGGCTATGCTACTTACCCCTCTCTAGATGTTATTGCATTGCCTGAAATGATTCAGTGTATAACATTAACCTTTCTGCATATTCTTGTGTTTTTACTGCTTATTGTTTTTATTGCTTTATTTCTTACTGTGAGCAGTGCCACCTGTCCACAGACCTGGCCTGTAAACTGGCCTGGTGGGACAAACAACTTGTCTCCATGGTAACAGATTAGTTTTACACGTTCTGTGGAACTTCTAGGCAAAGCAATAATATCTCCTTTGATTCATGCAGCTGGCAGACCCTGGCAGAAATGACCTAGAATGAGTAATAGTGATATAATTCTTACATAATAGCGGAGCTCGTTGTAGCTTCCTCCCGAACTGGATGGAATTTCTAATTTTTCCGCTGTGAGTCCAACTAGATGCCACTCGCCCATTGTAGTCATGACCTCTTTAGAAATGTTGAATCTAAGCTCGTTGTCCCACAGAACGCTAATTTGCATATCGGTAGCTTTAAATAAAAAGATTACTTTAGTTTACATTACATTATGAGATTAAAACATGATCAGAGTTCACTCTTGAGTCTCACTCCTGAGAATGTAGGAGTTGAAGCTGAAAGTGCAGTTCTGAGTGTCAAAGGGGAACAGGTAGATGTCCAGTCTACAGGAGCTGATGACTTTCACTGGCTGATCATCAGTCACTGTACCATCATGGTTTAAATACACATATGGGACCGATGGGGCTGTATTCTTCTCCATGCTACAGTGTAAATGAAAATATATTGTTAGCAAGAGATGTGCATTTTCATGTTCATTCCTTTCACAAAATAGCAGAAGATATTAAGCACTACATTAAAACTGGGAGTGAACTTGGAACTAAATCTATCCAAACATTTTTTTGTTTTTTTTGATAGACCAGTGTGTTGTTTACACATACCCTGACATGTTTCAGATGTCTTCTGCATCCTTTTTTAGAAGGGTCATGTGATGTTACGGTGTCTCAACTGATTTACACAGTTTGACACCATTCTCCTACCTGCTTTAGGAGAGGAATAGCATCATCTGAAGAAGGACGTAGGACAGAAGCATGTAAAAATATGTCAAGGTATGTGTAAACAACACACCAGTCTGACAAAAAATACCCTTAATTTTAGAGATAGCATTTGAACTATGACACAAAGTCTGCATCAGAATTAAAAAGGCTTAAGGTAGGCCCAAACAAATACAACTGTGAACCCACTGTTATTAGAATGGACTCATTTTAGACTTTTTTTTTTTTTTTTTTTTTTTTTTTTTTTTTTACAATACGATATTACACTAAACTATAGAAATTGTTACTTACAATTCATTAATGACAATGTCTGGCACCCACATTTTTTCTCTTGGGACAGTCAGCCAGGCAGAGCCACACTGATCTGGGTCCCATCTCATAAACTCATTCTCCCATACCTAAGAGATTGTAAAGCAAATTACTACAGTCAGTATTCTTTTTATACATGTGTTACATCAAGACTAACTACTTACCACAAAGTGCCAAATAAATGTTGTCAGAAGCTGGGCCTTTTCATCCTGATAAAAAAAAAAGAAAATACACACATTTAAAGATGGACTACGGATTTAAAAAAAATAGTTTCCTGCTTGTTTATAGGGAGATGTTATTGCTTTGCCTGGACTGTTTCACAGTATTTCAATAACTTGTGCTTGTTGCTTTTACAGGTATTTTTTTAATACCTTGAAAAATATGCATTCTCACTGTGCATGGGATCTCTCCTCCACAGATCTCACCTGTAACTTGGTCCATTGGGGGCCGCCTGCTTGTCATGGTGGAGATAGGCTTATTGACATACACATTCTAGACAAAGCAATGACATTTCCTTGGATACAAACAGATGGCAGACCCTCTGCCCGAAAAGTAACATAGCAGTGCTGAAACTTACCACTCCCAAAATGCCAAACATGATAAATTCCATAGAGACCATAGTGGGTGTGCTGAGGTTTGACACTGGCCGGATACTGCTGAGTTCAAAGACGGGACCGAGAGCCTCCAGCAGAGCAACGGGGTCCGGAGATGTGCAGTTCTTTGTGACAGATAACCCATTCACTAGAGAACACAAACGCCTTTAAACAAAACTTATGATCAAACAGAGCACCAGAGTTACACTTAAATTGTACTTACCACACAGAAACAGACTGATGAAGATGAACAGAACCCTAGAGCACTTGATTTTCTGCTGGTGGCACTAAAATATCAGCAGTATGTAAAGTAAGTGTGTTTTTACATTTCCAGTTCAGTTTTTTTCAAAAAGCAGAGGATGTAGTTTTATAGACTGCACTGTATCAAAAATGCAAGCAGCCATCAGAAAGTACTGACTGACATCTAACTGACTGACTTGTAGTTTAAAAAACCCACATGGGACTGAGTAGATGTGTTTATAAAGTTTTATTTCATTAGTTTGTTTTCCACTCTACTGTAATACAATGTCACACATATTTTAGACAAATGTGTTTCTATGAACAAATTAACTCACCAATTTGAAGTCTATTGTGGCATATACGAAATAATTTTATCAGACACATGTAAATGGGTGATATAACCAAAAATTGAAAATGTAAATATAGTTCTTCATTTCAAACACTACTAAAATGATGATGCAACATTTCATATTAGGTGAAAAAATTAAATTTTAATATTTTCTGATTATTTTCATTAATTGTTAATAAATTTAGATCTGTAATTCTAAGGGTGTGTTCACACATTCACATCAAAATATGACTAAACCTGTAAATAAACCAGGACTAAAAAAGGACCAAGCCAAGTCTACATTATAGAACTAAAATGGGCCAGTCAATGTGAATACACCCCACCAAAAAAGTTGGAACAAAAGAAAACTTAACTGCACTAAGGACCAGACACTAGTGATTGTATGAGTTAACCCAGATAACGATGATGGTGACAAAGCTGACTGAGATGAAGAGGATGTAGATGCCGAAGAGCAGGCGGTCTATGATGAAACCCACCTGGACCCACTCTTTGGTGATTGGGTTTTCTCCCAACTGCTGGTCCACATGGAATCGCAGAGCTTTGAGGTCTTCCCCCAGGCTCCTGAGCTCCTGCAGGGCTGTGTCCTCTGCCAGCTGGTCTTTCTTCTCACCTCCACCTTCAGGGATGTCAGCAGCATTCACCAGTGCAGTCTCATTGGGAGGGCTTTCTTTCTGCATTTCTATTTCATCTGCACCAACATCAACTGAGATGGAAAACATACAGTAATTTATTACACTTTGTTTTGAAGTTAACTTAAACTAGGGATGTAACAATAACTGAAATATTGCAATATTGTATCATCATAAGTCTGACAATAATACTGTGGGCCATCACAATATATTGAATTACAAGTTTCTTAAATTCATTGTTATAGAGTAAAAATGAAGAGAACTACATATACCATGATCCTTTGCTCTGTTTCAGTCCAATCTACATAATGGAATAACTTTCAGTTAATTATAAGTAGTGCATTCACAATTGTGATAGCTTCCACAAAATATTGAAATAAATATTGTGCCATGAGATGCATATCGTGAAAATATTGTATCGAGAGATTAGGATATGGTTACATCCCTAACTTAGACTCCCTCAAACTATATTGAACCACAAGGAAAATTACTTGGACACAATAGTTCACAAGTCACAATAAATTATAATAACGAAGAGAAAAAAAAAACAAAAGGGTAATAAAAAGAGGTCATAAGGAAAACAGTGCAAAAGATGATATGATGATTGACAGGACATAGGCTTCTCTGTTACATAATGATGAGTTGTTGTACAATTGTATGGACTATGGTATGAGTGTAGCCCTGTATCTTGGTAATATTATTTGTGCAGTTGAATCAAATTGTGAAATAATTTTTGCTAGGGTAAAAGAGATTTCCTGATAGTGGTAGGAGATAAATATTTTACAAATATGTTTTTGTTTTGCATCATTTGAGCTGACTGATAAATAAAAAAAAAAAAAACTGAAATTTGCAGTGTATACCTCCACAAAAAACTTCCATGCTTATTTGAGTCCAACAAATGTCCAACAATGACATGTACACGCATATATTTTTGATTGCAAAAAATATAAGTGGTCTTATTTTTATATTTGCTGCCATTCAAATTAGTCTTTTGACTTACTGTCTTTTATGACAAGCTGCAACTATTGTACTAGTAATTATACAGTGTTTACAATTTATACTACCACACCTCAAATACTATTAATACCACTATGTCTATTGTGTCTGTTTTGCACTATGAAAACAAGAACACTACTACAAAAAGGATCAATACTGTACTAGTACTGCTAGAGTAATTCTTCATAAAATATACCAACACACTTCCCTATCTTCTATCTTCTTTTATATACATACATTTCACTCAAAAGACCAAACATTACCCTTTTGTGAAGGTGCTCTACACTATTTTGAGCCAAAATGCCTCAAAAATTAAATATGGATTTGGGACTTTTACCTGTGTTTTCAGTATTTTCTGAAGGCTTCCACGGCAGGCAGACAAGGCAGCCAAAGATTTGCAGTACAAGTACACGGACCCAGCGTGGCATAGGAGAGAGACGGTTGGCGCTGTGCAGCAGATCAGTGATGAGGATAGTCTCTAGCAAACTGGCCACCATTAGAGCGAGGCACAAGGAGAAAAAGACATCTGGAACCCAAAAGTAAGTAAATTAAACATCCGTACACCTGCCATCGAAATGTTCAAGTGCATGTGAAAGGCTAGGCTCACAAAAATGTCATTAAAATGTAGTTAACATAATTATTTATATTAAAGGGCCCATATTACACAATTTTCAGATCTATGTTATAATGTTGTTTCCTCATCAAAAACATACACTGGAGTTGTGTTTTGTTTCATTCCCACATGTTAAGTTCTTCTTTTAAACTGAAAACACTCTGTTCCACCTTGTGATGTCATGTACAGGCAATACTGTGTTTTTAAAGTCCATAAACCTTCATTAGAATAATAGTTTGGATCATTTCAGCCCTGAACTTCCCAGTCTTTACCAAATATAAGCTGATAACTGGAAAACTATACCCCTTCATGACATCATATTGTGGAATGGAGCATTCTGAGCTTTAGAGATGTGGACAGACTAATAATAAAGTATTTTCTTTAAGCACAGCTCTACATTTTCTCGAACTTTTCTACCACTGGTACTATTCCACCACATAAACTAACCTTATGATTACAGAAAACATGAAATTCAGTCACTTTAAATAATGTGTAGATTACTTATGAGGGGTATGATATTTCCAGTGATGGGCAGCAGGTCGTTCATGATGAGGAGAAAGACGGTGTAGCCCAAGATCAGGGTCATTTTAAAGGCGGACCTATCCACGCTCTGAGGAGGCAGGAGGAAGCTGAAGAGGTCCACGGTGATGAGGAAACAGCTGGGGATGATCAGATTAACCACATACAGAGTGGCCCTGCGTCGCACACGTACCTGTAATACACAAATATATCATCAGTAAAATGAAAGCAAAACTATTTATAGAGAATCCAGTTTTAAGAAATGTAATAATAGCTCAGATTTATACACATTTAGCTACACTGCACACTGGATCTAAATTAGGACAATATCAGCCGTTTAGTGTGCAGTGTACGTAGTAAAGGTGGGCTACATTGACAAAATGAATATATTTTTAATAATGTAGATCACTATATTTTTTGCTTGGTAAATCCAGAATGATATCTCTCTCTGTGTGTTTTATACAGATTAATCACACCCTCTGTCATGTCTCAAGTCCGGTCAAACTTGATCGTGCAGTCAGATTTGTTTATTTTCAGAGACGCATGTGAAACGAAAGAGTGCACTGGTCACATATGACTTACAAATGAAATCTAATTGATCTCACCTCAGATTAATAGAGTTTAGTGCTTTGCTCATTGATTCTTCAAAAATCCTTAAAGTTTTTTCATGCCCCGTAATTTTTTTTTCCTTTATTTTTTTCAATACAGATAGCCATGTATGTCCCTAATTGGCTAATTCACCTGTAAGTCACGAGGATTCACTTTGTAAAGTATGCAAAATATGTGTATTCTGGATCCCAGGCGATCACACTGAGGCAGTTATCTTATCCATCAGCCCAGGGCTACAACGTGACTGTTAATCTTAAAGTGCAGAAATTGGGCAGAGTGCAGATATGTCACTTTATATCCTTGTTTAAAAGACTTTTAAATAATCAAATTGTGAAATTGTTACTAAGGTAAAAAAAGATTTCCTAACAGTGGTAGGAAACAGATATTTTAGAAATGCATTTTTGTTTTGTAACATTTGAGTTGACTGAAAAATAAAAATAACAGAAATTTGCTCCACAAAAAATTTCCATCCTTATTTGAATCGAACCTCAGCAATGACAAGTACACATATATTTTTGATGGACTGCAAAAAATAGAACTGGTCTTATTTTCATATTTGCTGTCATTCAAATTAGTCTTTTGAATGTCTTTTATGACTACAGCTGCAACTATTGTACTAGTAATTATACAGTACTTACAATTTATTCAACCACACCTGAAATACTATCAATACTGCTATGACTATTATGTCTGCGGTGTACTATGAAAACAAGAACACTACTACAAAAAGGATAAGTACTGTACTCGTACTGCTAGAATAATTCTTCATCAAATTTACTAACCCATTTCCCTATCTTCTATTTTCTTTAATATACATACGTTTTACTCAAAAAAACCAAAAAAAAAAAAAAAAAAAAAGAATCTTTTGTGAACCAAAATGCCTCAATTGCCTCTCTCTATAATATTTTATTTATTTTTACATATTTATTTAAATTTGAAAATATACTATTAACATTAATTTTTCCATTTTGCATACCTCCAAAACAACCAATGCAATATATTAACCCTCTTTTTGATATCTCCCACTACTTAATATCCTTACATATTATACTTTAATTTGCATTATGGTAGTATTATGGCTTCTTTTCTCATCATTAATATGTATACACTTTATTTAAACGAGAACTTACATGAAAGGCCAGCTCATCAATCTCGTTTTCATCACTGTGTTCGCTCCAGTCGCTGTAGGTTATGTCAATGAGCTCCCACTCCCCCATTGTAGTCATCACCTCTTTGGAGAGATTTGTGATCCTCTCCACAGATCGTCCCAAAACCACCCTTATGTCCTTTACTGAAAAGCCACAGGAGACCATTATAACCTTGAGTGAAATAACTAATTACAAATATCAGCTACTGTAATCTAATTAAGTAGATTTAAGTAGATATCTGGTTTGATATTAATTAACATAGAAAACACTAAATTTATGATATTTGCAAAACGAAAAGTACAAAATAATGTACAAATTCTGCTCAATAATACACCACTAGAAAGAATCTTCGAAAATAAATTTTTAGGAGTAACTATAGACCATAAACTGGAAATCACACATAAATAAAATTAGAAATAAATTATCTAAAGTGATTGCAATTATATACAAATATAGATATATCCTAGATAAAAACAGTCTTTTTATTATATACAACTTGCTGGTAATGCCCTACATACCCTACTGTATTGAGATTTGGGGCAATACATATAAGACTAATGCAAATCCAGTCTTTACATTGCAAAAAAAGGCAATAAGAGCAATAACATTATCAAGTTATAACGAATTAAACAATGTGTTATTTATAAACCTTCAAACTCTGAAATTTTATGATTTAGTCGACCTTTATACTCTGAAAATCATGTTCAAAGTAAATAATCTCCTGTCAAAATCTTTGCAGAACATGTTAAAAATCCGAAAGAGCCAATATGAGCTCAGAGGCACAGCCATGTTTATCAAAAAGAAAATCAGAACAAACATTATGAAATTTTGTATATCTGTTAAAGGGGTGGAGCTCTGAAACAACTGTACAGAAAACCTAAAATTGTGCACAAGTCTCTTTCATTTTATAAAGAATTTTAAATGTTTAACTCTGGACAGATACATGAAATATGATACTTAGGTTGTGCTGTAGTACTTTGTTGTACTGTTTCTGATTTGTTTGTTTCCTCTTGCTGTATTTATGAAGATGAACTGGTGTCAAGATGATGCTCTGACAAAGGAATAAAGGGTAGGCAGCTTAAGCTTCAGCCTACACCTTTTCGGTCTGTGTATGTTAAATATGACTGTCTGTGAATTAATGTCAAAATATACCGTGATCGAAATAAATAAATAATCAATGATTTTATGGGTAACTGTATATTTTTCGTAGAAGATCTTTAAATATATATCGGTACTTGTAATTGAGTATAATTCTATCCATGTCATTTTATTAGCTACATTTTCAATCATAGGAGTTCTCCGCTCGTTTTTACACTTCCACATATATGTAAACTACTATATATGGAAACTCATCACCTGCAGTGATTGTAAATGTCAAACAAGGTAATTCAGCTTACTTTTTTTTTTTTTTATTAAAGGTGCATTGTGTAAATTTTCTGGTAGTGGAAGGCCTGTCAAATGCTTTTCTTTGTGAAGACGTTATTGCTTCTTTGAGAAGAGAATAGACTTTAAAGCAGCTCTGCTTGTGTACAAGTCTCTGTGCTATACAAATAAACTTGCCTTGCCTTGCCTTTCTATAGAATGTTACACAGTATGGTATTAAATCTTTCTATCATCATGGAAACCAAACCAGACCAAGTTACAGGTCAGATCTGTGGACAGACAATCACAGTCAGAATGCCTGTTTTTCTAGGCTATAAAATCACCTGTAATTGAGTAAATGTAAGGTAGAGCTGTTCAATGTCATACTGTGGAACATTCCAGGCAGAGCAATGACATATCCATAGAAACAAGCAGGTGACGGGCCCTCAACCAGAAAAGTTACACAATGCACCTTTAAACAATATTTGTATAAAAGACTGATCTGAAATACTGCTAAAATGTTTTGCATGTGTAATTTTACAGTACTCTTTCCACAACTACACAACAGTTATCGCGATAAGACTTACTTCTGTGGAGGTAGGAGTTAAAGGTGAGTGTGCAGTTCTGGATGTCAAACGGAAATGTGTAGATGTCGAGGTTACAGGAGCTGACCACTTTGACTGGTAGACCATCGTTGATTCGTCCATCACTATGGAGATAGACATATGGAACGGAGGGAGCTTTGTTCTCATCCATGCTGAAAAAGTCAGTCATGCCATATAAAAAGTCAGTTAGTTAGATCAGTAATTCTCAAAGTTTTCACACCAAATGCCACCTAAGAAAATATTTGCCATCTGAGTACCAGATCTAAACCAGGTCTAATGTTCTAGAACTAAAATTAAAGCTAAACCAGGTCTAAAACCAGAACAGACCTGCCATAATAACAAGGACAGAAATATGGATTAAATTAACATTAAATCTGCAAATTATTCCAGTGACACTGAATGGAGTTTAAAAACACAATGGAGCTTTTTCTGTATTACCACATGACATCACAAGGTGGAACTGAGTTTTTTCCATTTGAAAGAAGAACTCAGTCTATATATGCAGGATTTGTGAGTTAAACATGTGCTAATGAAGCAAAACAAAACTCCAGGGATGTTTCTTATGAGGAAACATTATAACATAGATCAGAAAATAGTGTAATGTGAGCCCTTTAAGACATATGTATAACTAAAAAGAGCATTTTTTAAATAACCGAGTAAACCCATTATACACCTTTGCATTGATTTACATACTGTTCTAAAAATAAAGTGTTCAGACTCACAATTCATTGATGACAATGTCTGGAACCCAAAATTTATTCCTGGGAAGAGGTATTTTTGAGGTGCCACACTCTTTTGGATCCCATGAAACATACTCATTGTTCCACCACTGTAATATCAGACAAAATGTTACTCTATTGTTCAACTTTAGGTCCTAGTTTAACTCCATTATTATGTGTACTCACAAAACTCAGCCAGATATAAGTCATCAGCAACTGAGCCTTTTCATCCTAGTAAAAAAACACACACATATATTGGGTTTCCATGGGTTTTGGTGACATTACAATGACTTTTCCTGGAGACTTAACCTTCGTCACTACATACATAACCTTAACCTAAACCATAACTTATTTTAATCTATAAATTAACTTTAACTCATGTTGTTAATCTAGTAATCTAATTTGTCCCCAGATTTTAGTCCCCACAATGTGATACATGCCCAGCCACCCACACGCAGATACATGCATGCCATAGAATTTTAACACATTCAATAAAAAAAATATTATTCACTGCATTTTAGTTGGAATAGTATCATACAGACTGAAAATTATTACCATATGCCTGAATTGTGACATACACTGCAAAAAGTTAAAAAGACTTATATTAAGAACATTTTACTTTATTTGGGTAGATTCAACTTGACAAGTAAAATGATCTGCCAATGGAATAAGTGTATTTTTCTTAATTCAAGCAAGATTAGATTTGGTTTCTTTTTTTAAGTGCAAAAAGTTGTTTTTTTTATCTTAAGTGTAGCAAGATATATTTTCATATTTTAAGTACAAATAGTCTTGTTCCATTGGATAATTTTACTTGTCAAGTGAAAATTACCCAAATCATTATAAAACTTTTGTAATTCAAGTACTCTTAACTTGGCTTGATTTGATTACAGTGTAGGTATTGTGTTACCATAACTATCACATTTTTCAATTGCAGTGGATTAACACACATGCACATGCACAATGCATATCTTAACACTGTTCCACTCACCACTCCAAGTATGCCGTACATAGTGAAGTAGATGGTGACATTGGTGGAGGTGGTCATGTGTTTGACGGGCCGAATGGAGTTCAGTTTGAAGACAGGATCCAGAGCGGTGAACAGTGCGAGCTGCGTGGGCTCTGAGCAGTTCAAACTCAGAACACTGCAGGGGGCTGAAAAAAAAAATCACTCACACAACATCAGGTATTTGGGTAAGACTTTATAGTATGTACATATTAATTAGTCTTAATAAAGCATGAAGAAAGGCTTGATTCATGATGAACAGATAGTTAAGTATCTATCTTAAGTACTCAGGCTTAGTAACTGCTTCATTAATGTCATAACTCTGAGTCTAGATTAGATTAGATGTATTCAAAGATTGAATTGGCAGGAGACAGCATAGCATGTTAATCGCGCATCAGTAATGAATAAAACAATCCCCTGAAAGCAAGCATTATAAATGTACAAAATCTAACACGAAAATATAGGGGGAAAAAAAAATATTTCTATAATAAAACAATTAGCTTACTTATTTGCTTTGCTTACCAAGATGGCTGACGGTGAAAGTGGTGAGCACACTTCTGCAGTGTTTAAATGTTCTTGTTTGAAACCAGAGATATATAAGACAGCTGGTGGTAAAATTATTATTGAGGATGAACTGCCGAATTTCCTCTTTGAAAAAATGAAGAGTATGAGCCAGGATGAGATTGTCATATTGGCTGTTAATGCATTTGATTCAGAGTGGATTGAGTCCTGCGAGAGGGCTCTTTTTGAGCTTTGTCCTACATCCTAGAGGCGTGTCTCACATAAGGGGGCACACAAAGATGCAATGTTTAATGCAAACAACATTAAACATTGCTTGAAAGTTTTGAAAGAAGGTTCCCAGATTTGTTTCTTATCATCTGGATGACCTACTACCCATGGCGTTCAATAGCCTGGATTTTTCATGCCTACCAACAAGAATGAAGCACCTGAGAGCAGAGGTCACCACGTTAAAACAGGCTGTGAATCCGCTGTACTGTGTGACCGGCTGATGTGGTGTGCCTCGCAGCTGCTGTGACCGAGATCCCGAATGGTGGTGACCGAGAGCCTGTTGGGGTGGCCACAGTGGTACTGGTTCTGGGCGAGGAGTCTGGTGTGGCGCTTGATATAAGATGTAATGCCAATAAAAGTGTAATAATGGTCTGTAGAACTAAGGATGATCAATATATAAGGTTTTCTCAGTTTGTATTGGCTGGTAATGCTTTGACTGTATGTAACAAATACAAATACTTGGGACATTTTATCAAAGATTATGAGGACATCTACAATGCACAGGCTACATGCTCACGCGCAGGTTTGGTACCTGTAGAGTGAAGTGAAAAAGAGACTTTTTAAAGGGTACTGTTATTTGAATTGAATCCATGACTGTACTGCATTATATACGGCCCACCTGTGGTCAAACTACAAGAGGACAAGCAAACGCAAACTCATGGTGGCACTGCCTAAGGATTCTATTGAAAAGGCCGAGATGGGAAAGTGCATGTAACCTGTTTGTGTCTGCAGACATCAGATCTTTTCAGGCAAACATGCACAGATTCATCTGTCGCCTCACTGAGTGTGAGAACAGTTTTATCACAAGCCTGAATCATGACAAACTCAGTACCACAAGGTACCAGTCTGAACTATGAAGACGCAGGTACAGCAGTTGGTTTGTTGTGTGTCTTTTTTAACTCTGGACCAAGAGTCTGTAATAAAAGTTTGATGACAATGATGATGACTTAGTTACTCAGCCTGAACCATTATTAATAAACTATGTTGAATTAGGTCTTTCTTCCTGCTTTATTCAGGCTGTAAATAGTCTAGTTATTATTATGTAGTGTTACCAGCATGGGTCTGCAAGTCATTTACAATGTTATGAATAAATGTTGTTTTATCTTCTTTTGTGAAATACCCAAAATGGTTAATTTCCATTCTCTTCAATTCTCTTCTTATATAGTAATTTGTGAGCTGTGTGTCCAAGTAATTTTCTTTGTGGATCACTAAAGTTTGCTTCAGTCTATGTTACACCTTAATATATAATACAAATACAGTTATTACATAAAATATAAATGTTAAGCATGTTTCACATTAGTTTTGAATAGTTAAATGCTATGGCAACAGTGCTAATATTTTATCACACTGAAATGGACATGCAGGCCATATGCAAATGCATAAGTAGTATTGTGTGGGCTAAATAGTTGGATATCAGTTTGAAAACATACCAAGACAGAGAAGAATGGCCAAAGCAACCACTGACACCTGGAGCCACTGGACAGAAAATAGCAAAGAATCAGATATTACAAGTTTTAAAAGGCATACATTATATCATTTAACAGCTCCATACCTCTCGTCCAATGACTTTAGATGCCATGTCTAAATGTTACTTTCTGGAATCAAATAAAACGACCATACCAACAAAATGTGAACTTTCTTATCTGTAACTTCTTCTCTTGCTGTCTCTGATCCAACTAATATCAGATCTGAGTTTGCTGTATTCATATAGTCCTACTGAAATATGAGCTTTATCTGAACAAATCCTAAGCAAATCATATGGGAATTTGAAAAACACAAAACAGCACGTCTCCTCATGTTGGTGGTTTAAAAAAAGATAAGCCACAGTGTGTTGGTGTGTGACTTTCTGCAAAGAGATGGAAAACCAGTGTCACACCTGAGGCTTTATGGAAATCTGCAGTTTTCATGGTCTGGGCAGCTGTTGTGTAAGAGGTCACCAACGAATTAGACTTAGACTTCGACAAACTCTGTTGATCCACAAGGGAAATTATATGGACACAGTAGTTCACACATCACAACACATTATAATGATGAAGAGAAAAAATATAAATAGTAATAATAAATTCTAAATAAGTAGCAAAAAAGAAAGAAAAGACATGTCAAATAATTATAAATAATTATATAACTGTATGTATGCAAGTAAAACTAAATTATCTCAGCTATATACAAGCGATCATAAGGAAAACAAAGAAAAAACGATATGATGTTTTAGGTTTATCTATTACATAAGGATGAGCTGTTGTAGACAAAGCAATAACATCTCTACAAAGACAAGCAAGTGATGGACCCTCCACTAGAAAAGCTGTGCAATGCACCTTTAACTTTTAACATCAGTGGACTTAGAAATCTAGAGAAAACAAAAGAGAACATAATTGCAATCCATTATAAAAAATAAAATATGTTATAGCCTCTTCAACTTAAAGAGTGATTTCTATCAATCTATAACATTAGTGAATAAAGTAAACTAAGTATTGAAGTAGTGGATAAGCCTAAAAGCTCAAAACTTCAATATGACTAATCCTCTGTAAATAAATATAACTTAATCAAATAAAATAAATAACCAAGGAGGTTCTAACACCATACAAGATGACTGGACACAACAATTAGCTGCAATTTACAGAGACATTAAACAGAGATGTTCAGCACCAGATTATAAATAGCTAGTTTCTAGTGATGGAAGTTAACAAAGTAAAAGTACAGGACTTATGTCAATTTTTAGGTATCTGTACTTTAATACATGTAAAATGTACATAAGTGAATACCTTTTACTTTTACTTCACTCCATATGAGAGCAGGTATGTGTACTTTCTACTCCACTACACTTTTAACTGGACTGAAAAGTAAAAGTATTTTTCATTATTGTTTGAGACCCGTTGTAAGGACTGACAGATTTATTTTTAACACATTCACAATTTGAGCAAATAAAAATATACAAACAAAACCAGCTAGGAAAAAAGACTCAGCTGTTTCTGCTGAAGAACTTTCAGTACAAATCTCTATCAAAATCAATACGTTTGAAGCCTTCAAGACCTCAAAATCTGTGCGATATACTTTTACTTTTTACTGCTTTAATACTTTTACCTGAGTAGATCTTTTCATGTGATACATTTACTTGAGTATTTGTCTGCTCCAGTATATGTACTTTTACTTAAGTAACAAAATTGAGTACTTCCTCCATTGTTAGTTTCCATCTGCAGCTCTCCAGACTAGGCTACAGATCCCATAGATGCAGGCCTCACAGTGATTGGGCTTATGACGGATCTTAACGTCTTCTCCAACATGTCCCCTAGAACTACCAGCAAAGGACTCACCGTAGCACCTCTTCCTGATATTCTTGACCAGATTCTCCATCAGGATTTTAATGTTCACTGGAGATATGCTTGGCCGTTCCATTGGCGCTTTTTTGCACACCTTACAGTTTTGTCGATAGAGGTGCACTTTCACTGTCCCCTGACGTGTCCTGTTGAGGCGAAAGTGGAATAGGACCGTCACACCGTTGGACGCATTTAAACCTAAAGAGAAGATTTGAATTAAACAGACCTAAGTGATACTGAAATGTTAAAAAGTCATTATGCCTCTCCCAATTAAATTAGTAGCCATATGCAAGCCTAGCTATATGGGCCACTTTTACAGGCTAAATGTGTAAATAAAGAGATCAAAACCCAGTGCTTTTTAAACAGCTGCTGCCACTCACCTTCCACTAGTGTTCCTTATGTACTGCTTCCAGCCACGGTTTCGTTGGCGCGGGGAAATACTGTCATCAATGTCCAGGTACCAGTTGTCTCGTTTATACTTTCTCAAATGTTGTTGTGCACCCCGTTTCCATTGCTTCAAAATCAGAAACTCTGATATGTTTACCTTAAGTCTGACACCTGATCTGAACTGCAGGTCATTAATCAGTGGGCAGGTGGGGTATAAATTAAAGAATAAATGTGGGGAAAGTGTTATTTCAAATAGAAACATAAACAACAATTTTCGATATAAAAAAACATTGCCTCCTGCTGGATTAATTCCGTCATGCACTTTCTTGACACGTCCCCAACCCATCTAGGCTACGGTTTTACTCAACAGTTCACATCTCGAGTGTTTTTTTCCCCCAGCAATAACATTGGTCTGTGTGTGTGACATATAAGAATTTAAGGTGTTTAATAGCTTATTTTATAATTTAGTTTGATCAAATGAAGATATAAGTAATGCCACTGTTGGATAACTGGAAAAGTAATTAAAATATAAAAGACGCATTTGTTTAACTGATGGACAGGAGCAATTACATACAATTATTTAGGCTTACATTTATTAAGCAGTAGCTTAGAGAGAATATATTGGCACAATAACATCACATTTACTATCACTGGTCACAAAGATAAACTTTATTTCCCCCACAAGAGGAATTTTGTCTTGGGTAAGGTGCAAAGTTATGATATCAAAGAGATAGATAAAGTATCAATAATAGAATGGAAATGTATTAATCACTTGTACAATCAGTGCTGTTCATAAAATTCCATTTATTGCAATTTACTACATTGCATTACACTGATTTATTCAGCCCATTCACAATAATGTGGAAGTGTATGATTGTTAGTTCAATTTAAAAGGTCTTTGAAGACCTAAATGTGGCAACAGCTGAACAAGTTGGACATGTTTTCTATTAGACAAAATTATTAATATTGTGCCAATTTTAAACAGATAAGGGTGAGACATATATCAGCCACATGTGAGGAGAGAAGGGTAGGGGTGATTAACACAGTGACTGTAGAGTTTAATTCAGCTTTGTGTGTGCTGTGTGCATGTGCCATTTTGCATTATAGAGTGTGACAAAACGATAAGGTTGGACTATTTTCTTTCCTGTAGCTTAATATCTGTTTAAATGAACACAAAAATGTGACAACTAAACCCAGTCCCCCTATCTGCCTGTTTGAAATTGATGCAAACACTTTATTACACACATTACTGTAATGTAATACATAACAAGGATAAAGAGAGCAAACGGAGTCCGTTTTACTGCATCTGGCTGCACCAGTCCAGTAAATTTTTACATTTATGGCCTGACTTGACACACCCATGAGCCAAAGCCATGACTCATCTACCTTCAAGCCCATGCCCCTCTGTATCCACGTCCTCTGCCTCCATGAAATACATTAGGCATAGGACCTTTAATACAGGCTCCAGCCATGCAGCCCTCACAGTGTTCGGGTTCATGAGGGTTCCTTACTGGCACACACGTAACATCCCTGGGCACATAATCAAAGGTCTCATCATAGCACTTTTTCCTGATGTTCTTCACCAGATTCTCCATCAGGATTTCAATTTTTTCCTTGTGAAGTTTTGGTGGCTCCATCTGTGCTTTTGCACATTTCTTGCATTTTTGGCGAAATATATGCATCTTGACGGTGCCTTGATGAGTGTTTTTGTTGAGGTGAAAATGGAAGATCACCGTCACACGGTTGGAAGGCCAGGTGCGCGGACACAGGCTGCATTTAAACCTTACAAAAAGAGATTGTGTTCTGTTATGATATTATTGTAAATGTAGCCTGTTCCATTTGTAGTAAAAAGGAACAAAATATGTATATTTCAATATTCATCTATGCTCTAATGAACATGGCAGGTGTTGTGTTCCTTTTAGGGCTCATTCTTGTGTTGTCCCTCTCAAGGCTTAGTCTTGATATTCATTTCCACATAGGTCATATTACTATTTACTAATAATAGTTTATAGTCAGTGTTGGGAAGGAAATGAATGAGAATACATATTTTGAATACTTATTTTGAGTAACTGTATACAGGTTACCATACTCTTTCATTTGGTGGTATTCAGAATATAGTTACTTTTCTAAAGTCTTGGTAGGACTTGTGGCTTCAAACTGCACATAATCAGTGAGAAAAATAGAAAACCCTGCTCTTGTGGTGTGTGCACATGTGATTTTTTTCTTCTCCAATTAGTGTTAACAAACATAAAGCTGTTTTCGATCCTGTGTTGTGTTTTTACTCTATATTTTAAATGTCAACTTCTTGTAAAAGCATTCTAAGCATTTCAGTTTGCATATTCTGTAACAAAATTTTAAATTTTCAATCTATTCTTCCTATCACTGATTATAGATTTTTACGATTTTAAAAATGCACTGGAACACAAGGTAGCAAAGAAGAAAAGAGCAAAACACTGACCATAAATGCACATTTTAGGCTAGATCCAAAAAAGTTCTGCCTAGGCAATTTGTAAATGGGACAGACCTGCACGAATGAAATTAACAATGAACTCTACCTTGCACAAGTTCGCCTGATGTACTGCTCCCAGTCTCCGTTCTTATTTGCTGCAATGGTGTCATCAAACTGCAGCTCCCACTGATCTTGTGTATATTCTGATACTTCTCTGTGAAATATTGATGTCCATTCCATTATCAAAATTATCAAATTATCAAAAATAATTCAACTATAGCCTATTCTTACTAGAAAGTTCTCGTAGGTCTGACAGCTGATGTGAACTGCAACTATTTATCAACAGAGGGTAACTCATTACCCTCTGTTACATTATGTCACTTAAGTTTTGTTTAGGAGAAAATGAAACTAGAAGTCAAATCAGAATGCACTTAGCCTAGTTTCACTTTCCGACTCCAACATGATTAAGCATGTACACATCTACAAACGTGGGTTTGTTATGTTTCTTCTGTTGTCCCTTTTTCTGTCCTCATCCGTCATGACTAAGTCCATTGTTATTGGCACTATATAAATAAAATTGAATTGTATTATATACACAAATATATATATATATACACACACATACATATACACATATACACACACACACATATATATATGTGTGTGTGTGTGTATATATATATATATATATATATATATATATATATATATATATATATATATATATATACACACACACACACACACACATACACACACAATTATATACATTTACTATATTTACATTTATTAAGCAGTAGCCTATAGAGAATATAATAACACAATAACATCATATTTGCCACCTCTGGTCACAAAAATAAACTTTATTGTCCCACATGGGGAATTTTGTCTTGGGTAAGGTGCAAAGATATCAAGGAGACAGATACAATATTGATAATAGAATGGAAATTTATGCATCACTTGTACAATCAGCACTGGTCATAAAATTCCATTTATTGCAGTTTATTACATTGCATTACATTGATTTACTCAGCTCATTCACAATGATGTGGAAGTGTATGATTGTTAGTTCAACTTTTAGTCTTTAGGTCTTTGAAGACCTAAATGTGGCGACAGCTGAAAAAGTTGGACATGTTTTCTATCAGACAAAAACTTGCGACATTGTAGTGTGTGACATTTGACATTCCCATTTGCATATTGTGTTTCCTGCAGCTTAAGATCTATTCAAATTACCACAAAAAAGTGACAACCATCCCCAGTCTCCCCTGTCCGCCCAACTGAAATCAATGCACACTTAAAACATTATCGTAATGTAATAAATAAGAAGGATAAAGAAAGCAACCAAATTCACATTTATTGCACCTGGCTGTAACTGTCCAGTCATTTTTACATTTATGGTTTGGCTTTCCATACAAACCCATGAACCAAAGCCATGACTCATCTACCTTCAGTATCTGTGCCCACGCCCTCTACCTCCACGCCCTCTACCTCCACGTCCTCTGCCTCCATGAAATAGCCTTACATTTGGCAAGGCGGCACCTCCAACACAGACTCCAGCCCTGCAGCCCTCACAATGAGCAGGCTCATGGGGGTTCTCTACTTCCACACCCGTATGTTCTCTGGGCACATAATCAAAGATCTCATGGTAGCACTTCTTCCTGATGTTCTTCACCAGATTATCCATCAGGATGTTAATGACTTCATCTTCAACTATCAGATCCTCCATCGGTGCATTTGTGCATTTCTTGCAGTTTTGACGAAAGGCGCGCGCCTTGACCATGCCCTGATGAGAGTTTAGCCGAAAATGGAAGATCACCTTCACAAGGTTGGAAGGCCAGGTGCGCCTACACAGGCTGCATTTAAACCTTTCGAAAAGAGATGGCATTCTGTTATGATAGTATTACAAATGTAGCCTATTCCTTAAAAAAAAAAAAATATATATATATATATATATATATATATATATATATATATATATATATATATATATATATATATATATATATATATATATATATATATATATATATATATATATATATATATATATACACACACACATATATATATATATATATATGCACACATGTAAATCCTTTTGAATGGATTCTCTTTCCATAGGCTTAATGAAAGTGGCAGGTATCGTGTCCCTTTCAGGACTCATGGGGACAGTGCACTAAGAATGAGTAATAATTTATTTTTTATAATAATAATAGTTTATTTTTACGATTTTGAAAATGTAGTCTACTGTAACACATTTCATGCTAGATCCAAATGTAACTGGACCCTACCTTGCAAAAATCGTCCGTTCGTACTGCTCCCAGCCTGCGTCCTGCTGTTTTGTAATTGTGTCATCAAACTGCAGCTGCCACTGGTCTCCTTGTGAATATTCGGATACTTTGCTCTGAAATATTGGTGCCCAATCCATTGAAACAATAAGACTGTAAAGCCTATTCTTACCAGAATGTTCCGGATAGTCTGACAGGTCATGTGTTCTGCAAGCTATTTATCACCAGAGGGTGACTCGTCATCATCACAAGTTTTGTTTAGGAGAAAATGAAACTTGAAAAGCAAAACGCACTTCAGGTTTAATTTCCCGACTCCGACACGATCAAGCATTTCAGGCTTACAAATGGGCCCAAACTGGCACCATATGGGCTAGTACACACTAGACGCAACAAGTATTCAAATACTGATCATGATACACACAGGCCTATTACAAGAGCTGATTTTAAATGGAAATCAAGTGCCTTTTAAAGTGCCTCCTTGTGGTAAGAAAGATAGAGAGAAAAAGAAATTCCGTTTCGAGAGTTTCGTTTTCATGTTGTAAAATGGACAATCGAAAGTGACGATGTTCTTTAAAATCTCAGTCCACGGTTGTACGCCTACTCAAGTAGCATCATAGAAATAAAATGGGCTATATTTTGATAGAATCGTAAATAGGTTATTAGCCGGAGCGTTATTTTGAAGCAGTCTCCGTATGAGGTATATTCTTTAAACAGATTTGGGTAAGCCATGCTGCAATAAAATCAAACGGCTCTTATTTTAATCTTATTTTTAAAAAAGTGTTAACCTAACCACAATAGCCCCCATGCCTCAAGCTTTGATTGTCAAATAGAAAACGAAAAAGTAAGTTACACGCCTGCAGCATTTAAGCCCCAATCCATAGATTGTATATAGAATTTAGAATATAACACACATGTCCCAACCATACTAGTATAGTTCTTATTACAGATCCTTGAGCCCAACCCTTGCAGTCATGCATACAGTCTATACTCCGACTCCAACTTGTACTTTTATTTTGAAGATGAGCGGAAATAAGTCCGTCGCCATGGTAACTCACAACCTTCAGAACCGCTGTTAGCATTTGGCTAACATTCCGCGGTGTCTTTTAACAAGATGGGAACTACAGATACATACCTTATTCGACCAAACCATCAAAACAAGTGAGTTTAAACTGTTAGCGCCATAACATAACCCTGCAGTTTGTTGTCAGTGTGACTACGTTACTACAAAGGGCCAATGCTTACCTTTTAACTAGTAACATTTAAGTTAGCAGCAACATTACTTTAGCTTAAGAAGACAAAAACTATGCATTAGCCACACAACATTCACATGCTTACTGCTAACGTATAGTGAAGGCTGATATAAAATATTTATTATAACTAATTAGGCTGCAAACTGTATTATGGCAACATTTTGATCGAAGTGTATGTTTCGTATTTTTAGGTTTAAGCCAGCTGTGGTGAAAGAGTGCATACGAGAAGTTGTCAGGGAGCGACTCACTGGAGTGCGATATGACGCTGAGGAGGTTCAAAAGCTGTCCAACACGCTGGCAGACAGCATTAAGGACAGAGTAAAGAGTAAGAGACCATGGTTTAGCAAAATGCCAGCTACGACAGTCACCGTAAGAGTCTAACACCCCATATTGTCATTACAGAGGCTGGTTTTGACAGATACAAACTTGCAGTGCAGGTTGTGATTGGAGAACAACGAGGACAAGGGGTGAAGTAAGTTTCTATTTAATTTAGACTCAAAACAGTGATGTATTTTAGCTACTAAGCTAACTGACACCTGCCACGTGAAAAACAAATTAAAAGGTGCACAGTGTAACTTTTCATGTGCAGGTCCTCCTAGTCTCCATTGCGATAGATGAGTTTCATGGCATACTGTGGAACATTTCAGGCAAAGACATAACACCATGGAGGGTTTGCTACTGGGTTTGCTATCCATGGAAATGTTTTGCCTAGAATGTTCCACAATATGGTATTGCATGTATCGATTGCAAAGGTTAAAATCAACATGATGCCACCAGGCCAAGTTGCAGGTCAGATCTGTGGAGAGGCAGCCACACTCATAATAAGAATGCATCTTGAATAAATGCAAAATTACTTGCCATACTAAGGGACATTCCTGACAAAGCAATAAAAGATAGAGACATGCCAGGCTATTCATAGTGCATATTTTAAGGGCCAATATTAGGCTATTTTCTGATCTATGTTATATTGCTGTTTCCCCATCGCAAACATACTGGGGATTTCCAGTCAGCTTAACAAGGATCATCAGGGCATTTTGAGACCAATAATAAAGGATTTCTCAAAACCAAACACAAATAAAATGAATTGTCTTATAGGATGTCCACAAGGTGTTTTTGGGATGCTGACACAGACAGTTATGCAGAAGATGTTTTTATCACTGTGAGTTGAGTTTAATCAGTAAATCCTTCCCTCATGCAGAGTAACTGAGTCTTTTGTTTTTCAGGAAAATCTGTTTTGTGTGGCGGTGGTGTTCGGGAGCTATTACTATTGACGACTGTGTAGAAGATGTCAGCTAAGCATCTACTGTATGCAGTGTTGGTCTGTTTAATATAGGTAACAGTGACCTACATTAAACAGACCAACAATGCATTTTTGAAATAACAGACTGAAACTATTGTTTTTTGTACTTTAAGGTATTTTGCTATTCATAAAAAATATAATTTCTATTTTTGCAGTAAATTATATTAAACATTTGTGATGTGATATTAAAATTGTTCAAGCTACAGGACTAAATATACTGCAGTAATGAAGATATAAACTTGTTTTATCTAATTTATTCTTTAGGGTTTTTTTTTCTGGAGGTTGGTGTAAAATGTGTGTCTAAATCCAAATCTATTTTTGTTTGTCAGACAAAAATGCAATAACTTAATAAAAAATTTAAATAATAACTCTACAATTGTATTAAATATAGAATGTCAATTCAGTTGACAATGTCAGACAGTTGACAAAGAAATATGGTAGAGCAGACTGATTATATTTGTTTTGCTGGTCAGAATTGGGACATATCAGAGTGGGGTAGTGATAGATGTGGTGTTGAATTGTGAGGTTGAGTCTCAGTAGAGTAAGGATCACAGATCATTGTAATCAGCTGTTTTCAGTTTTTTTTTTTGTTTTTTTTTGTGTCCATGGGCAAGCTTCTTATCTTTGGGTATTTTCTTGCGTGTCTCATATTATGTCCATACCTTGAATCGTTAAAACCAAATCAATTAAAGGAAATGTGATGATTTTTGAGACTGAGAGGCTGACTTGATTAAAGGTGCAACTGCTCATTATCTGAAAATATACACAATCATTGCTGTTCAGTGAACTCATTAAGGAGCATCAAGTTGTCTATTGTTTAAAAAGCTTCTATTGTTATAAAAGCTACATATTATTACCTCACTTCATATTTCAAAGCACATTTAATTAAAGTAAGCTTTTTCATTCTTGCTTAGTTATCTTAAATATATATAAATATCTTTATAACAGCTTTATGAATATATTGTACCACGACTGCATTTGACAGTACCTGACCTTCATGTCCATCAGTTAATTTTCAGATCAAATTCATATTTTATCTTTTAGTATGAATTCTTTTTCACACAGCAAAGAAAATAAATACATCATGGCATATGTATATACATCTTGATTTGACCAAAAAAGGGGAAAAAAAAAAAAAAATCAAATAGTCTAAATTTATTGGTGTTTATCTGTCATCTATTTCAGTACTACAGTCCCTAAAATAGTTCTGTAGTTCTGTACCTGTATACATGAAGCCTATTGAGCCTGAAGAGTGTCGAATTGATCAGGCTTATCTAAGTGAATTAAGCAAATCACTCATGCTTGGTTTACACATATATTCTTGGTAAGGCTGACTTGTGCTTCACCCTTTCAAAGATTTTCAGTCTCGTGGCCCTAATCCGAATGCAGTGTGGCGTATGTTTACACTCTGTTCACTTATTGAAGCCTCTGCTGTTTTGACACATTTCATTTATGCTGATCATCTTCTAGCTGAGAGAACAAACTAGATAGATCAAACTCAAGATAGCTCACATCAAATAAAAAGTCTTAATTCCACTGAGAATATTTGAAATCTCAGAAGTTTTTTTTCCCCTTTAAGTCAGTGTTTGTAATGGAAAAATATGTACGTAATTCTTTATAAATTAATAATATATTTTATTAAATTTTTTACTTGAAAATGTGTGTGTGTGTGTTGGGGACTTTTGTACATTTTGTATGAAGTTTGCTTGTAGATAAATCAATTTGTTGTGAGCGTGTGCACTGCAGTAGAGTCCTGTGTTGCATTTTTGATCACATTTTGTCCACTGGGTTAACTACTGACTCTGTAACTACTCCAGAATGGGAAACTATACAGATACATATAACAACAATTTCTAATAACAGTAACAATAAGAAATATGGTGTACACATATTGTACTCATATCTTAAGATCAGGCATAATTTTCTTTTGCCACAACCCCCAAACCCAGTGATAAAATAAGTGTCTTTACTGACCCCTTCTGGCTGAAACTAAAGTGGCCAGAACTTATGGGAAATTTATTTTTCTCTTTTATTTTAGTTTTATTTTGTTTGTTTAGTTTTGTTTTTATATATATTTTTTGCCGCTTTTGCATGTTCTGTTGTAATTTATCAGTTTATTTTACAAATATTATTCTGTCCATAGTTAAAAAAAGAAAGAAAGAAAGAAAAAAAAAAAGAAAGATCATTACACAAAAGAGTTGCTTTCTCAAAGCAGATGTGTAACGTCCACCTAACTTTCTTAATTACACTTCTGCTAATTACGCAAAGCCTTATACATTTGGATGTTACTGTATACAGAATGTGGCAAAATGTGGACCAAAATTGATTTTAATATATAAATACAAAGCTGCAAATTAACTTTAGATGGCTGAACAGGAGTCAAAAAGAAAATAAAAAAAAAAGCAGAAGAACAATACAAGTCCTTTTTCTGCTGTCAAGTACTGGCTATTACGCTATTCCTTATGCTGTTGGCAGTGAGTATTTTGCAACTTTGCAACTTTGCAGGTTCTTGATAATGGTATGTTTTAAATGAGCCAGTCCCATTGATCAAAGTCAAAATTAAATCTGTAATAAATGGAAGACAAAATAGTCACAGTGGTTATAAAAGAGATGCTGAATCTTTGCACGCAGGCTAAATAATGCAGGCGTCCAAATGCCTCCAAATACTCTAAAATGCAGCATTGTACAATTTGTAGGTGTTCTTTTTCAAATTTGGAACTTGCTCTAAAATTTTGAAAGCATTTACAGGTTTGTGTTTAAAAGTTTTGGACATTTCACAACATCATGAGTCAGATTTTTCACATGAGTAAGTACCTCTTCTGCTTAATGTCAGCCTCTCTGCCTACTCATATTCCGTGTATTTATAATGTACAAAAGGCTTGCCTAGAAAGTCACTGAAGCAAATATACATTTTAATCAGAGGTCAGTTATTGTTATTGTAGTCAGTGTACTCCAGGGCTGCTGTATGAAAGGGTGGTCATATAATTAGGCATGATTATTGGGTGATTATTGGAAACATAATCACAGACTGCTGCTCTTTCTGCCTACAAATTGTTATTGACTTTTCCAAAATATCTTCATCAACACATTTTAAAGGGAAAACCAGTGCAGCCCTCTGTTCATTACAGTAGCAGATTATTAGTCCATACACATGCTATATCAATATTTTATTTTTTATTTTATTTAACATTTAAACTAATCCAATAGCCTTTTTTAATGTAAGTCACATGTGAAACATAACAAATATACATGCACCTAAAACATATAGCATCATTACTGAGCAATCAAATTTTTTCAATTGTCACTATCAAGTATCACACAAGTATCCTTCCAAGTTACATAGTGTACCTTTGGATAAATTATAATTTAAAATTTAAAATGACTTTCATATTAATACGACAAATCCTTAAAGGTGGATTGTTGAGGGTCCTTCAATGCTTTTCTCCATGAAAATGTTGCTGTTTTGTCTGGAATGTTTCACAGATTGTTATTAAACCTTTCTATCTTCATGATGACAAAACCAAACCAAGTTACAGATCTGTGGAGAGGCAACCCCGCTCACAGTCAGAATACCTGTTTTTCTACGTATTTTTGAACATCAAAAGTCACCAGTGATTTTATGAATGTAATGTTATACTGTGGGACATTCAGGTGACAGACCTCCAACCAAAATGTTACATAATGCACCTTTAAATTTCATTTTTAGTGAGATATGCTTCAGCTTTGACATGGGAATTGTCAAGACCCAACAAATGCTCAATCAGCTGTTGATCAGATTATCTCCAGGGACACCAGCTATGCCTATTTTTATATTTACCCCAAATAATTCATACTCAATTTGAAATTTTCCTTTCATACTCAATTTGAAATTTTCCTGTGAACTTGTCCCCGTGTAATATGAAAGTAAATCAAACAGCAGTGGCCAAAACTACAGAGCCTCCACCTTCACAAATAGTCCAGCCATTTGTTTGTGCTCCAAAGAGTTCAGAGACAGATTCAGTTTGAAGTAGGAGTCATCTTAAGATCATCACACAATACAGGATTTTTCCTTCTTAAACGATTTTTAAACATGCGACAAAAAGTGCACACCACAGACACGAGGAGAATCTTATGAGAATTTAAATCTCCAATCGCAAAGACTGCAGCGGCATATGGCTGCGGACCACAGGCTATAAAGTTGTGAGCGCGATCTCATCTGCTGTTTCCTGTCGATTTGCTTTGAGGTTACCATACCATTGCTGATGTTTGGTGGTTACACTATGAAAGAGCAGCTCACAGTTACACTGACACCCCACACGAGGAGCACAGAGGCTCCAAAATCACATACGAATACACAAAGTTGGATCCCTCCCCAGACTCAGAGAGAAGCAAATTGCAGCCAAAATCAGGTAAATTCTCCTGTAGTGTGTGGTGGCCTTTAGTCAGACGTTTTAGGAAAAAAAGGCTGAAATGGTCAAAGGTTTTTAAACACCTTTCATCAGAGCTTCAGCACAAACCAACATGACATTGATAACCATTGATGCAGTTTGTCCATTAGCTGACTGGAAGTATGCAAGCAGGCATTAAGTGCGTGGCTGTAGTTTTACATGTGGCTCTTACACTGACTCTGCCCCAGGGCCAGACTGTTGACAAAAGCGTTTGTCTGCACTTCTCCAGATGTTCCTTTTTGAAGGCTGTGACTTGGTGGACTCTGCTGAGAGCTGTGCTACTGCATTCATGAAGCCTTATTTTCCATTTTCAATTCCCTCTGAGGGCAGGAGAGATGTCAGTGTGATTATCACTGTCTGTGTGCTTTTGTGTTGTATAGCAGCTGCGTTTTGGGTTCTGCCATAATCTTTATATCAAGTAATTGTAAAATAATGTAAAATAATCATAGTAGCCAATAGTTAAAATGAAAATAAAATTTTAACAGAGTTTGTAAGAATGTGATTGCTTGGCAACTGTAATGGTGAAATATATATTCAGAGGTATAATACATAATACAAACATATATAATAGATAATATAGCATTTGTTTTAAAATTGAGCACTTATCACTTTTGAAGAGTAATAATTGCTCATTTAGACTGTAACATGAAAAAAGAGAACAAAATTAAAACAGACAAACATGCCCATCTAGTCTGGCCCAGAATATACAAACTGTGAATTTATGCTTTCTTGCAGAAAGAAACTACAAGAAGGAGTTGGGAGCAATTCTAAATTTAAAATTAGGTTCAGAATACACACAGATGGATTAGCCAATTGGAGGAAAAATTATGAGGAAAAAAGAAATATAGTGAACTGAAAAACACTGGTAAATGGTCACATTTATATAGTGGTTTTCCACCTTCAAGGCCCACAAAGCGCTTTACATCAAGGAACTCATCCATTCATACACACATTCATACACCAGTCAACACAGTGAGGGCAAGGTGGATTAAGTGTCTTGCCCAAGGACACAACAAGAAAATTCATCTGTGGGAGCTGGAATCACACCAGCCAACCTGTAGGCCAGTGGATCTGACTGCTCAACCAGTGATGTTTACATTGAGAGTGGGATTCAAACCACCAACCTTCAGATCAGCCCTCAACTCTGTTAATCCAAGGTGAAAGAAATTTAATTTCAAAATCAAAATGATGGCTGACCAATGAGCTCCTTCATTTCACATGTGTAACTGCAAAAAACTAATCTGACTGCACGGTCATTTTTGAGCCTGGCTTGAGTCGT